GGTGGGATCAAAAGTTAAAGGTACCTAATGCACCCCGATACCCAATCGATCCGGTGACCACTGCCACAACCTGATGTGAATTTGTGTGGCTCTTCTTGATCGGTTTAGTATCAGGGTTTTTAGCCAACTCCCCTAGGTGAACTGCCAGTGGTTCACTGACCCGGTTACAACCTTGGACATTGACTTTTCGTCCCCTCACTTTGGTGGGAAAACAACTCCGCCACGAGAAAACAGTGAGTAGGACTTTCTCAGCAGAGGCCATTTGAGATGCTTGGTCGTATAGGAGCATTTCGTGGGATGCAAGGGAAGGATGACCACCCATCCCCGACCATACCGAGGCTTTCGGAGCCGTGGTTAACTTAATCTGTCTTCTGTTTGGTGTGACCAGAATGCGTATTCATTCAGTTTAGTGCGGCTGCGAAACGGGTCACCGGGGAAGGCTTACACTATCTAGAGAATCTGTGCTACTTTTCGTGTGTGGTGAGTGCGTGCTGTAAGCAACTGACAAATTACGATACACATGGGCCGTTCTTTGTGCCCTCGAATTGCATGACATGAGTGCACTGCAAATTTTCACTGTTCTATGCTTCAGTTGTTTCGCGTTCTCTTTATGCTAAGCGCATCATATGCACACTATCGGTTTATTGAAGTGTGTTCATTCACACATCGCCTGATCGGATCACTAGTGACGCCATTTTTGATAAATTGTGTTCCGTTTGAGAACTCTTGCCTACCGCGTCCCATGCAATTTCAATGAATGTGACTCACAGTTGACTTTTGCTAGTCATGCAGCTTTATCAGGAGTAGAAACTCACGTGCTTTGGAATTAATCCATGCACACGGGTTTCTGCGTTCATGCGAAACACATGCGAGTTGTTCGCAACACACCCTGTTTACATTCACTGCCGTTTGGTGTCAGAAGATTGTGCAGAACAATAGCAACAACAACTGAGTCCGAAGAGGTGTTTAGTGAAGTCGGATAGAACAGTTTTTCATAACTTTTTATTTTACTCTTCGTCAGATTCTAAAACACAGACACTCCTCTCGTAGACCCACCATTTCTATCTTCCGCGATCTGAAAGCTGCTTTTGACTCAGTCGACTGCTCCACACTCTGACGCTGCTTCGCTCTAAAGGATGCGCCCGAGACGTTTGTTTCAATCTTACGGTCCCTTTATACTCATAGCCGAAGCCGAGTCCGAGCTTACGACACTTTTTTCGCCCGAGTTCACCACGGAAAGTGGTGTTCGTCAGGGTTGTCTTCTCTCCTTTTTTATTTAACTTTGTTATAGATTTAGTTATGGANGACCGCGTGTGAGGATAGCGGTATCGACCTGCTCTGTGGTCTGGAACATGCAGATGGCATTGTGCTACTAAGTGAAGATCCAGGTAAGCTGCAAGCTTTTCTGGATAGTTTGAGTGCTAGTGTAGCCATGTTCCGTATGCGGTTTGCATCTTCGAAGTGTAAAATGTTGCTACACGATTGGGTTGGTCCAGCCTCCAACCTCACCCTGACTGGGGAAGCAGTAGAGGAAGTGGAAAAATCTTGCTATCTTGGCAGCTATATCTCACCTGGCGGACGCATCACAGATAAAGTGTCGGCGCGCATACAGGAAGCTCGGTTGGCATTTGTCAACTTGAGACATCTGTGGCGCCGTTGCGACATCCGGTTGTCTGTGAAGGGTCGGATATATACTGCAGCAGTTCGACCAGTTCTGCTCTACGGTGCAGATACTTGGTCATTTCGGGGAAACCGGACGGGAAATGCTGAGATTAGGCTTATTGGCTTAGATGATCGCGGTCATCCACTGGACCGAATAGGTTGCCACGGCGCTTGATGTTTGTCGAGACAGACGGCGGATGGAAAAAGGGCAAGGAGAAAGCAATTTACTTTCTGTAATAGGCTTCCCGTTTCCTCTGATGATTTTCAGTTGGTTGCGCGATCATGTACCTGGTACTTTCGCTTTCCATCTTAAACATGTCTTAATCATTTGATAATAAAGTGACCTAGCATGAGGGTATGAAAACCGTGGCCAGGAGACTCGGTTGTATAGGTCCCGTTAGGCTCCCCAGATCGGGACCCCGAGGTCATGGTAATCGGTGGTTCGAGATGGAGTAATACGACTGGGTGTCCCCAACATTGGCGGTTGTTCATCTCAATTTTTCTACAACCTTAGCCCGCTGAAGTTCTCCATTTTTTCTTCGACTCTACTTTCAATCGTCCTGTTTTTCTCCTACTGTTCATCCAAATTGGCGGCCAAAAATAGCAACCAAAACTTGCGCATAAAAGTGTATGGTTGTTCAAACTGAAATTGAAGATGGTCTCTTCTCGGATCGACGGATAGCGATAAAATGACCGCTGTGCTTCGAATAAACAAGCAGATTACCATGCAAAAGCCCCATTTACACGTATCAGTTTTATTTTTTGTTTATGACTCTGTCCCCAGTTGTGTCATATTTTGCCTGTTTCATCTGTTACACGTTCCGTGCCCATCATGGTCAACGCACCTTATCTCACTTCGGTTTTTGCAGTCCTGACTCTGTTTGCACCCTGCTTATTTCGCCTTCCCTCAGACAACACTACCGGAATTCGAACAAGGGGAATGTTCCGTCAAACGAATGCATGAGGAGTTTATCTGGCTTCATGACTACCTAGTTGAGAATGAAATGTATGCCGGTTACATTGTAAGTTAATTTGACTACTAGATTGTTGTTCTCCCTCTTTTAATTTTTTTCGCAGTAATAGTGAAGTCCCTTCGTAGTGAGCCAGATCGCATTGTTCCATGTGTACAAACTGATATGCCTAATCCCATGCGCAGTTCTTTCGCGTGAATGCACCCTTGATTCTATCCCATCCACTACCTCCCTCACCAAACACCGCACGTCGAGGAATCCTATCAATTATCAAGTCATTGCAATCTGAAGAGTCCCATCACTTGCTCCACTATGTGACCGCAAGGATCTAGTACTCTGCGCCTAACTTCGGTATTGCTTATCCGGTTACCTCGTCAAACTTCTGTAATATGGCGTAGACAGCGGTATTCGAACACCGATAGTCTATCCCTATCGTGTTCCCGTAACAGCCAAGTTTCTGCTTCATGTGGTAACCGGCTAAACTGCCGCCTAATACACCCGACCTTTCACAGTTCACGTATGTCACAGCAGCGCCGGAAGTATCTCGAGCGAGCAAATGCCAACCGAGCCGCCGTCAACTACTGCAATGTCTGTTGAGTGCGCGAGGTCATTGTAAATGTTATCTTGTATTTCAGGCCCACTGCCATCAGTCGATGGCACACGGACAACGAATAAGCAGTGAGGCTTCGTTCTGTTGTAGTTAACCCATAATGATTATTGCAACGTAAGGTGCACAGCTGTGTTATCTTCTACAGACGTTTCGTCCTCCGGATTTCGATTTAGTGTCATGCACGCTAGTGCTTTGATTACCGGGCCGCTTTATGGGATTGGTTCTTAGCCTCGAGCGCTTAATGAAACCGGTGCAACATGGACTGGGCAGCATCTTATTGGTTAGGTGCTCTCGAGCTCAGACAATCGGCTGCTGCCCAATGTGATATGAAGACTTCTCCCGTCGTCGGGAGAAAGCCCTGAATGTCCCGCTCTTCCCTCTCCAGGGCGGCTTTTACCACTGCTCCTCCCTGTATTTATTGTCAAAGTGACCACTGTAGAGATGAAATTGTATAGTCAAAGTATGCCAAGAAGCACCCAGCCAACTGATCTTATGAGACCGAGCTTAATCCGGCTGCTACCGATTGAACTTTCAGATGTAATTGAATCTGCGGCTATGAAGAAGCATCCTACGAAGCCTACGGGTTCACAAGGCCCTAAAAGCCATCACCACGGCCAGGTACAGCCCAATCGTGATCTATGGATATACTTTTAAAATCTACCTCCTTTTACTGAATTTAAAAATGTTCAATCAATTTTCAGAAAGAGAGAAGTGCCCAGTCAAAGTGCTGTCGTAAGATACGATGATTTGCGGGAGGGAGGTGCTGTGTTGGGATTTGAATATGCGATCTCCGAGTCGTTGATGGCAGTGATCCACATCGTTTAAGCACCACCATTGTACAAAATGTTTTTGAATCATGCTCTTTTTGTCTCTTTGATTCGGTTGGACTATTAATATGATGCACTACTGTTAGCCTTGCTGTCTTTTGTCGGATAGCCCCCGTGAACCATGTGTGTCTCCCTATTTTGCTATTCACTTCTCGCATTCTGAAAGGTTCCACCTGTTCCTCCCCGGCCGGATTTCGATTCTTCCCGGGCCAAATTGCAACGGCTTGGTGAAAGCGAGGGCTCCATGCCGAAGGAGGATTTGCAGAAAATGAAAGCCGAACTGGAAGCGTAAGTACCCACTGAACACACCGTTTTATATTTGCTCCTTCACTGAGACTTGGGGGTTGGTGGGTAGGCCATTTTATTTACTGTACTATGTGTTCCCGTTGGTTTGTTGCACGAAGACTTACCAATACCCTCCTGTTACACCCGTTTGTCTAACTTTTGTGTCTTTTCTCTCGTCAGCTTTGCTTAAAGACTCCATTCGGTTGAACGGAACTAATTTCACGTTTCGCTTCCTGTTGTTTCACCACCTCATCGAACGGATACTTTCTCCTACCCCCTCCCCTGCCCTCAAACATTTTGTGTTTCTCTTCATTTATGTCTATCGCTCACATCGATATGCATACATCCGCGAAATAAGCGGAAATTGAGATTACCTAACCAAGTCTCATATACGGTGTTCGGAAGCTGAATGAGTAAGAGTTGGACACTTTCAGTTACTGAAGTTCAGCTAGCGACTGGATTGCATAACTGATTTGTTCCACGGGACCTGTTGTGTTACGATATCCGTCGTGCATCGCGTACGAAATCCTCCTAGAAGTACCGCTGTCCTTTTTGATAGATAATCTATCACGCTACCTGATAATCGATCGATGAGAGAATGCGGTGAGCAACTATCTACTGACCAATTACTTTAAGCTGATTGTCACTTATTGGAAATCGAATGATGCTGGATCAGTACAGAAACAATATAAGGATAGGATATCGGTGTTCAAACACCGGTGTCTACGTAGCATTACACCAGTCGGGTAGGGAACCCGGGAAAGCAATGCTTAGGTCAAGAGTAGAGCTTTAGATAACCGCGCAGTGAAACAAGATTACTTTGGTCGGGGTGTGTTATGCATGTCATCAAATAGATTACTACGATGCGAGTTGTTTGCCGAGGCAGGTGGTGTGTGGAGAAGAGTCAAGATTGATCAGACTAAAACCTGACATAAAGGTATGAAAACCCCTGACCAAGAAACTTGCTCACATAAGTCGCATTTGGGTTTCTGAATGAGGACTTCGGTATTCATTTTAACTGATGATGAGAGACACTGGGTGATATGACTGAATGTCGCAAACAGTGGTGCTCGCGCATCAACTCAATGTCGCATGTCACCAAATAGGTTGCCACGGCGCGCGATGTTTGCCGAGGCAGGTAGTGGGTGGAAAAAAACCAAGGGTGGTCAACCTAAGATCTGGCACGAGGGTATGAAATCCCTAACCAAGGTACTGAGTGATATGGGTTCTGTTTTTCTCCTATTCTTCATCCAAATGGGCAGTCAAAACCGCCACACGAAGGTACATGATTAATGGTTGTACAAACTGAACTGAACTGCATGTCCTGACAGCATTCATCTTCATGAATTCTCTATTCCCACCCTGACACTGCTTTGAACATTTCACTGTTTCCTTTCATCATCAACATCGTCGTACAGCGAAATGGAAAGCCAAAAGGCAGCAACCGAAACCACCGCACGGAAGTGCAGTGATTCTAAACAACCGAAATCAAATCTGTCACAATGACATGCCATTCGGGTGTAACCGAACACCTCCCCATCTCACAGTTCATCCTCAATATTGAGGTGCTACCAGAAGACTGGAACTATGTTAGCACCGTGCTCATGTCAGTCCAACCGTAATAGGAATTAAACAAGGCCTCTTATTCGCAGACTTAAACGTTTTTATTAGAGTCGATTTTCTCCACAGGAACTCGTGTGTATTTGCGTTGATCATCATATACATAAATTACAATTTCCCTGACCGGTGCTCATTATGACCGGTTCACTGTGCGAATGCAACTGCACAATGAAATCGACTCCGGTAATCGTCGATGTGTTTGCGTAATTTGTTCAATCGGTCACACGGACTGGTTCACTCCTGTATTTTCGTTCTGTCGCCATACTCACATATATGACCTGAATAATGTATTCGGTTGTTATGCATTGCGGCTTGTAGGATTGACTCGCCACGATCACGGGATCGTCACTGGTGAGTGTTTTACAATGCGGTTTTTCATCCTACTGGCCGGCATCCACAGGCAGAGCTGTCCATAGAAATGCAGTTAGCCTGGTGTTCGAACAAGATCAGCTTAATCTGCTTAGTCGGATTAGAGCTGCGGGGTGGATCGATTGCTCTGTTGTATAATTAGTTTCTACACATTAATTAGTTGCTACAACTTCGTTGTTTATTTGTACTCATCTAACAACAGTGTGTTTGGGTCAGGTTTCGATTTGCAATTGTTGAATCAATGCAGCGATTTGCTCCACACTGGCATTAGCAGCACCATATAGCATGGTCAATTTATCCACTACTGCTGTTGCTTTCACTCTTGGTGATACAATCTCATAGATGTTTTTTTGCGCGGGTGGACACGGGGAGGCATTCACACTATAGTCATTCCTGTTCGGTTTTTGTTGCCGATTCTTACGCACGGAAACGGTTATTTTTCGCAACCTTCTTGTAGCTGTCATTGATCTGTACGCGCATTGATTTTATGTATTCGCAATCTGAGTTCCTATTCTGTGTTATATATATATATATATATATATATATATATGTTAGAATGAATAGTATGAATGACTGGACAAAAGTTTGTTGGTAGCACACGACCGGATTCGCGGTTCTCGTCGCTCATCAGGTATGCATATCCGGTAGCTTTCTGTCAATTCATTGATATAGTTGTAACCAGGAGGTGCATTTCGTCGCAATAACCTCGAATCATACTATTGATTGATAAATGGACCCAGAGAATGGGGGCGTGCGCTGAGTTGTTGTGACGTTTCCATCTAAACCAGGACTCGGTATCAAACGTAAATGGAATGAATGAGATGATGGGATTACCGTCTTTCCGTGAACCTGTGTGCTGTTTGTGCATCTATCAATCCACCAAACGTCACGGGTTTTGCGAGCGTGACTTAGTGTTTGTCTATCTCGACGTGTTGGTTGAGCGAATGGATCGAGCGTAAAGCTTCGAGAATTAAACGTTCCGCCTTCTTCTTAGCTCGCGCCGCCACCTTTGCCTTATCAATCGCGATCTCGTGGCCTGTCTGTGCACAATGGTTCCAGCTTTGTGACCTCGGGTCAGCGCGTCGGAGAGCAAGTTTGTGTTCGTGTAAGCGAGTGCATAGTTCTTTGCCTGTATCACCTATGTAGTGTTGATTACATTCCAAGCACGGGATTGCGTAGATTATACCTGATCGTCGGCGCTGTTCGACTGTTGAAGAGAAACGATCTCACAGTTGCTACTGGTTTATGGACTGTCTTAATTCCCAACGATCGGAGCATATGTTCGGTGGCTTCTGACGTGCCGCGTGTGTAGGGTAACTTTATCCAGATTTCCTCCCTTGTGTTGTTTGTTTTTCACCCGTGATGCACCCGTTGATAAAGCTCCTTGGATATGCTTCAGATAGGAACAGTTGAGAGTATCGACTTCTTTCATTTTTATATATACCCTCTCTATCGGATTATCACATGTCTGGTCTAGGAGAAATTAGTCCCACAGATGCTGTGTAATCTTTCCAGCTCACTTGCTGTTTCTAATGCTCACTGAATTGGTCAATTTGTTTGTGTGCCTACTCCGTGACATTCCGGTTATTTGTGCTCACTACTCGCCGCAGATGTATCCGAGTGATCTGACCTTATCTGTCTTGTATTATGTGTTCAGGGTTGTGTGAATGGTGTGTTCAAAGGCACCGAAGCTATACGATCCTCTGTCTGCTCAGTTCATACACACAAACACACGTTTGACCTCACTTGATGAAAATCCGCACAGACGAATTAGAACAATTCACCTATTGCTCTGAATATTATTGATCGCTACAGTGTTTCGCTTTTTTGATCTAGTCCATTCTTGTGTTTTGTATCCCCACACGACGATGAAATTTATTCACATCTCTTCTCTTGTATACCTCAGTTTCGTTTGTCGTTGCTTTCAC